GGAAGTTGGCTGGCCTGGCGGTCAGAAACGCCGTGGAGATGAATCTGCATATGTCGTACCAGAAGCTGATGCGAGGGCATGAGGACCAGCGCGACAACGTGCGTCTATGGTACGCGTTGTATGTCTGCGACAAACAGTTCAGCATCGCATATGGACGACCATCTATCGTCCACGAAGACATTGCCATCAAGAACATTGAGAATTTCCTCGACAGTCCCAAAACGACCCCAGGAGATATCAGACTGGGAGCGCAAGTCACTTTGTTCAAGATCCTGACAGAAGCATACATAGCCTACGGCAGCGATCCAGAGCAACCATTGACGGAACCCGACTTCCAACAACTCCGCCTCTTCAACTTCGCCATCGAACAGTGGCGGCTCGCATGGCAAGCCCGATCCGCTGACAGTCCATCCATCGGATCCTACCCATCGAAAGGCGTAGTACTATACTACCACTTCGCCAGATTCCAGCTGAATTCTCTCGCGCTACGTGCCCTGCCTCCACCCAGCGCCGCCACATCCGAATCCCTCTCCTACGACCGCCGAGAAGCAGCCAACATCGCCATCACAGCCGCAACCAGCACCCTCACCCTAATCTTCGAGGAACCCGATCTGCGCAAGGCCATGACAGCAGTACCCATCTTCACGCACACCATGGTCGCTTTCTGCGCTACTTTCCTGTTGAAAATGGCAAAGACCTGGGGCGGCATGGCACAAGTGCAATCGCCAGAGTGGGCAACCGAACCCGTCGGCCTAGGTCTCAATTTCAACATCAACCAAGTCCTATCTCTATCGCGGCGCTCATCTTCTTTTCTCGCGAAGGTGGCGGAGAATCTGAACGAGAAACACATCACTACGCATATTGTCCAGGGCATCAATGATCTGTTGAAACGGCTGGATGTTGCGGGTACGCCGTCGGGGTCTGTGACCCAGGGAGGCTTTCCGGCGGCTTCGCCTGCAGTCACGACTGTGTTTGATCCTGTCAAAGCGGCTACGGCGCGCAATGATGAGGGTGTGGATGTAACGGCGGGGAACGAGTATAATATGTATGATTTGATTGGTTCTTATGGGTTTGGGTTTGACGAGACGTTTTTGGGTCAGGTTGCGCCTACGAACCTGGATTTCTGGCAGACGGAGCCTTTTTGATGGGGCTGTATGTATTCGTAATATGGGGGAACCCCTCCTACCTTGTTCTCCAATGCACTTGAGGGTCTTGGGATACCTTGTGACAAAAGGACTTCACACCTACCTTTACATCATGTCACTCTTGAGGTTGTAGCCCAGCCAGGTGGCGCTGTTGATTATTCCTACATCACACCTTCATCCAGCCGACACCTCGCATCCAACGTTGTTATTCGAGCATGGTGAAAGACGGCGGTATCGGGTGGTGAAGGTGAGCGCGCGGAGCTTGCTGGGAAGCCGGGTGAAGGCACCAGCGATGATTTGTGGACCAAGCTGCAGTTTGCTACGTCGATGGGATAGGTAGCAGCAGCGATTGCTGTGGCGGAGCGAGTATGTAGGCAGCTATACAAGTTTAGCAATGCGCAAGGCTGGACAAGGCTGCCCAGGTGCTTGAGACTATCCAGGCGAGGCTGATGCTCTGAGCTTCCGCGCGCGCTCGTGAGGGGAAGCTGCGACGGCCGCCGGGGAAGCTCCTGCTCTCTATCGAGACGGTGACAATAATAGAAGCGAGGTTTCTAGAAGTAAATTGTGCGCGTATCGTCGGCGGGACAAGCAACGTGAGAGTGCATCGCCAACGTCGCGATTGTTCTGCCCCTCGCTACTAGGCGTTGCCGGGGAAGGCGCGTTTGGCGGTGAGGCGCAATTGGAAGGCGCGCCCCACCGTGATTGGCTTAGCCGCGGCCTTCTCTGCGTTTCTGCCGCTCTGTCTAGAAGATTCTCGAGCTCCACCAAAGACTATATCAGCCCCAAACTCGACTCCTCCCACTACTTTTTCTTCATCGAATTGCTCTCTCCCACTGCACCTTCACAGACATCGACGTCGCTCTGCTTGCTCTTACCCACGCGCATTAGAAGAGCTCAGCAACCGAACTACCCCGCCTAACTGTACGTCTTCCCCACACTCGCCTACTCGCCTGGCCTGTCACTTCAGCCTAGTACCATTGAGCCCGGGCTGACTCTTCTCCTACAGCTCAACACCCACACAACCGCCACCATGTCTGGGGAGACCTTCGAGTTCCAGGCTGAGATCTCTCAGCTGCTCGGCCTCATCATCAACACCGTCTACTCAAACAAGGAGATCTTCCTGCGAGAACTCATCTCCAACGCCTCCGACGCCCTCGACAAGATCCGATATGAAGCCCTCTCAGACCCAAGCAAGCTCGACAGCGGCAAGGATCTCCGCATCGACATCATCCCCAACAAGGAGGCCAAGACCCTCACCATCCAAGATAGCGGTATCGGTATGACCAAGGCCGACCTCATCAACAACCTGGGTACGATTGCCCGCTCCGGCACAAAGCAGTTCATGGAGGCGCTGTCAGCCGGTGCCGACATCTCCATGATTGGTCAATTCGGTGTTGGTTTCTACTCCGCATACCTCGTCGCCGACCGCGTCACCGTCGTCTCCAAGAACAACGATGACGAGCAGTACGTCTGGGAGTCCAGCGCTGGTGGCACCTTCAAGATCACCGAGGACATCGAGGGCGAGCAGATCGGCCGCGGCACCAAGATCATCCTCCACCTCAAGGATGAGCAGATGGACTACCTCAACGAGTCCAAGATCAAGGAGGTCGTCAAGAAGCACTCCGAGTTCATCTCATACCCCATCTACCTTCACGTCCTGAAGGAGACCGAGAAGGAGGTCGAGGATGAGGACGCCGCCGAGGAGACCACCGAGGGCGACGACAACAAGCCCAAGGTCGAGGAGGTCGACGACGACGAGGAGAAGAAGGAGAAGAAGACCAAGAAGGTCAAGGAGTCCAAGATCGAGGAGGAGGAGCTCAACAAGCAGAAGCCCATCTGGACTCGCAACCCTCAGGACATCACCACCGAGGAGTACGCCTCATTCTACAAGTCCCTCTCCAACGACTGGGAGGACCACCTTGCTGTCAAGCACTTCTCCGTTGAGGGTCAGCTCGAGTTCCGCGCCATCCTCTTCGTCCCCAAGCGCGCTCCCTTCGACCTGTTCGAGACCAAGAAGACCAAGAACAACATCAAGCTCTACGTCCGCCGTGTCTTCATCACTGACGACGCCACCGACCTGATCCCCGAGTGGCTCAGCTTCGTCAAGGGTGTTGTCGACTCTGAGGACCTTCCCCTCAACCTGTCCCGTGAGACCCTTCAGCAGAACAAGATCATGAAGGTCATCCGCAAGAACATCGTCAAGAAGACCCTCGAGCTCTTCAACGAGATCGCCGAGGACCGTGAGCAGTTCGACAAGTTCTACTCTGCCTTCGGCAAGAACATCAAGCTCGGTATCCACGAGGACTCGCAGAACCGCGCTTCCCTCGCCAAGCTGCTCCGCTTCAACTCTACCAAGTCTGGTGAGGAGCAGACCTCGCTTACCGACTACGTCACCCGCATGCCTGAGCACCAGAAGCAGATGTACTACATCACTGGCGAGTCGCTCAAGGCTGTCCAGAAGTCGCCCTTCCTCGACACCCTCAAGGACAAGGGCTTCGAGGTTCTCTTCCTTGTTGACCCCATTGACGAGTACGCCATGACTCAGCTCAAGGAGTTCGACGGCAAGAAGCTCGTCGACATCACCAAGGACTTCGAGCTTGAGGAGTCCGAGGAGGAGAAGAAGGAGCGTGAGGCCGAGGAGAAGGAGTTCGAGGGTCTCGCCAAGAGCCTCAAGACTGTCCTCGGTGACAAGGTCGAGAAGGTTGTCGTCTCCCACAAGCTTGTCGGCTCACCTTGCGCTATCCGTACCGGCCAGTTCGGTTGGTCAGCCAACATGGAGCGTATCATGAAGGCCCAGGCTCTCCGTGACACCTCCATGAGCTCGTACATGTCTTCCAAGAAGACCTTCGAGATCTCGCCCAAGTCCGCTATCATCAAGGAGTTGAAGCGCAAGGTCGAGGCCGATGGTGAGGATGACCGCACCGTCAAGTCCATCACCCTGCTTCTCTTCGAGACCTCGCTCCTTGTCTCTGGTTTCACCATTGACGAGCCCGTCCAGTACGCTGAGCGCATCCACAAGCTTGTCTCCCTCGGCCTGAACGTCGACGAGGAGGTCGAGACCGAGCAAGAGAAGACCGAAGCCGCTGAGGCACCCGCAGCGGCTGGCGAGAGCGCCATGGAGGAGGTCGACTAAGCGCATCGCCCGTCTTGACTGGTTTTGAAAAGTTTGGTCGGCGCTCTGATATCCCTTTCATGTGTCATGGCTTTCTTTCACTTTCTACACCTCACTTGCATGGTAACACGAAGCTTAATCTTCGATGGCGTCTTAGAGTGGTGGTACTTTATGCATCACGAGTAATGGATATCCCGAAATGTATCTTACGTAGACTTGCCTCTGGGTAGTTTTCATGAATGATGAAATGTTCAAACAATCTTTGTCTTGACTGTGCTTTTGTTGTTGCTTTTGCTTCTGTGGTGTTGATTCGTGACAAGGATGGTCAACGCGGCTGGGTATAGTCCACCACACCAGCTAGCCATCGACCGTTTCAAGACTACTCCCGTTCTTCCATCATCTCTTACTAATTGTGTGCTCTGTTTGAAAGATGTCAGATTTGACAGATGCCAGTTTGGTGTTGCGACGCACCTCACAACGTCAGGGTCCAACCCATGCAACGGCGATCGTCCCGTGTCCGAAAAACAGGAATCTCCACAAGCCTGGGCCGTTTCGTACCTCCACAACAGCAGGGATGAGGAGCGTGCATGACGTATGACGGAGCCGCGTTCAAGATGTCTAGAACGCGGTTTCTTGGTACAAGACGATAGACTACCAGACTCCGTCCTCCCTTTTCGCTGTCATTACGATACCTTGACGTTCCAGCACCAACTTCCTGAAGCTTACGTTGTTGTTATCTCGATATGTCGGCCGTGGACCAACTCAAGCAGCAGAATGCTGCGCTGCAATGTATGTTCGTAGATGATGTAAAGGACTGGGGCTAATGCGCGTTCAGCAAGTATTGGAAACATTTCCAAAGTCGCTGGATCGACCGCGACGAAGCCGGCTTCTACGACACCGGCAAAGACAGCGACGTCGGCTACTAAAGCTACCCCTGTGAAGAAGCCTGTTGCGACAGCTACGGATACCGCAGGATCAGCTGCTGCGCCAGCGAAGAGAGTACCGAGGAAGCTCAATGCAGCGGGCGCGTCGGCTTCAACGCCAGCAAAGACCACGCCTGTGAAAGCGACCCCAGCAGCATCCTCAACACCAGTAAAGAAGCCCGTAACCGCTGCTTCAGCAAGCAAGCCCGCCTCTACCACCACACCCGTGAAGAAAACGCCCGTCACGACAGGCAAAACACCCGTCAGCGAAGCCTCCAAGCCCGCCCGCCAACGCACCCCCCTCGGCACCACGAAGCCCCTGCCCATACGCAAGAACCCCACAACCGGTGCCGCGCAATCGCAGCCCGCAAGCGCAGTCAGCAAGGCGCCCGTGAAGAAGACAACCACCGCCGCGACATCTTCCCCCGCAGCAAAGACCACTCCGGCAGCGAAAGCAAGCCCCGTCAAGCGCACACCCACCAAGGTAAACCCCGACGGCACAGCGCCCACCAAAGTAAACATCGACGGTACCTACCCAACCCCTCTTTCCGTAATACTAGCTCATCCCGCTCCAGGCCAACCTACTCCTCAGTCTACTATTGCTACCGCGAAGAAACAGCCGGGTATCGTGGGTAAAAGCGTTAACACGGCTACGGGCACGCTGAATAAGACTGTTGGGACGACGACGGGGGGTTTGAACACCGTTACCGATTCCGCTACTACGGGTATAAACAGCACGGTCAATGGCGTGACTGGGTATGCGGGCAAAGGACTTGATAAGTTGCCGGGTGGTGTGGGCAAGCCGGTCAAGCATGTAACTGATAATGTGGGTAAGACGGCGACGGGCGCGGTGGATAACGCGTATTACACTGTTGGGTCTGCGACCAAGGGGCTGCAGGGCACGGTTAGTAAGACGACGGGGGCGATTGGTAGGGGTGATGCGAAGGGGACTGTTGCTGGGGCAAGCAGTGGTGTTGGTATGTTCTCCTTTTTCCCATCTCATGCTCTTACTTCGCTACGTCGATATGCGCTTGTCGTATACATCTGAACGCCCTACTAACACTCCATCACAGGCAACACCGTAACAGGCGTAGGCAAAGGCGTCGGCAACACCGTCGGCGACGGTCTCGCTGGCCTGGGCAACACTGTCGGCGGCCCTGTCGGCGGCGTCGTCGGCAACGTAGGCAAAGGTGCTAACAACGCTGTTGGCGGCATCACCAGCGGCGTCGGCGACGGCGTTAGCAAGCTCGGCAAGGGCGATGTGATTGGTGGTGTGGGCAGTACGCTGGGTGGTGTGGGAAAGGGTGTGGGTGGCCTGCTAGGCGGTATCACGGGGTATGGAGAGGATAAGGAGAAATGAAGGTGCAAGGTTGAGAGGTGGTTGGCGGGGGTTGAGGAGCGTGATGAGGAGGATGAGGGTGTGGAGGAGTTGGAGGAGCGGCAGGAAGAGAAAACTAGAGAAGAAGACGCTAGAGAGGGCGATGGTGTGCGGGAAGAAGGAGGAGAAGGAGAAGCGAACGTGAAGACTGATGTTGTCGAGGAGGAGGGGCTGAAAGCAGATTCCGTGCATGGCAGAGGGGGATAGTAAGGAAACCTGATATTATCGCATGTATGTCTATGTAAATTGTTATCATCATTACTGTTAGCTTACCCATATCTCCTCTACGTCTCCCCAACGCTGCCTGATGCTCGAAACGAAGAGAGAGAGCGGGGAGGTATGCAGCCGCATGTCCCCTATCTCTCAATAGAACCCAACAACACATTCCCAACCCACCGGCAGAAACGGCGTTGCGTTGCACAGCCTAACTAACGCTCACCCGCCCTCCTCGCTTGGAAACAAGCCACAACTGGCACGAAACCTCGCGCTGATCACTTTGGAGAAATAACGCCGAATGCGCTCCTTCTGCGGTGGATATGTTATACGCGGTATACGGTGTTGTGGGACTGGGTTTGGGGCCTGAGTTCGGGGGTTGGTCTTGTTTTGATGGGGCTCAATGGAGGGGGTGTAGTTGGGTCTTGAGAATGAAGGTGATGGGATGAGAGGGTGGGGAAAGAGTGGTAGTGATGATGCTGTTGGTGGTATGGGAGGAGGGCAAAGGAGAAGACAGGGAGCTACCCGTGGACGTAAAAGCTAGTGACATGCTTTGTGAGGCATTTTGCGGTAGACTTGCGAGTCTTTTCCACGTTGCCATGTTCGCGTCGTATGCACCGTATGTGAAAAAGGTCGTTGGTAGGTACTTAATCATCCACGCCGGGCGCTATCTCACCCCAAACCCAACGAATTACCAAGCTCCCCATCCGGTTACCCAACGGCCCTTTCCAGCACGCCTAACACACCGGCTTTGGTCAAGAAAATGAACCACAAACCTGCGCCTCTTTTTGCGTCGTCACCTCAGCCACTAACCCAGCACCACGATCGGCGCTTGCGCCGCTAGCCATCTCGTGTTCCCAAACGCACTCACGCCAGAATTGTAATTATTCGCGAACTGGACTTTCGGAGTCTACGCCGGTCCGCGGTGTTATGGACGCAGGTCTAAATGGTCCGATATACGCTGCGGGGGCTGTGATAGGTAGGGTCGGTTTCGAAACTACCTAATTAGGCTTTCGGGAGGCACGTTGCGTCCGGACAGGGAGGGGGTGTGAGGGATTTTGAAGGGCTAAATGGTCTGAGAGCCGGGAATATCGTGGCTTGCGCGTCAGGGCTTGTGGAGGGATAAGCTTTTTGAGAATGCTTGGTATCGTTTTGACAGGTGTCTAGGAAAGCTTGGTATCATGGCTGGTGACGATCGGGGAGTCGTTTGCTCCTATCAGCTTGGAGATGGAACTTTGTGTCTAGGCGGTTTACTGCTTAGCTTGTATACGTGGGCATACCTGCACTACTTTGCTTTCGTGGCATCGGTTGCATGCAGCAAACAATTCCCTTCGAGGAAGCCATCAGGCAACATCTCACGACACGGCACACTCAGCCAGCTACTCCCGGCTTTGACACTGTAGCACGATCCCCAGGATCCCCCCAAACCACTCTCGTAACCTTCCAGATTTGTTTCGCACATCATCAGCCCTTTTTGACGCCAGCGCGTCGATTCAAGCCACAAGCACAGACGCGTCGAGCGCACACACTAACCCCATCCCAGCCGCAAACCAGTCGATCAGGGACCAATCCGCCTTACTTCGCTCGCAACGTGCACAGAAACGTGTGGCTGAGCTAGGCAATTATCACCGGCACTATCTTCCTCTCACGAAACGTGTGGAACAATAGCGCGTGCGACGACACCGTACCGGTGTTCCTTCTGTCGACGGTCTTGAAGCTGGAAATGTGACTATCGGAACTATTGGCTCGCCGGAGCCGGCGTATAGGATGACCACCGTTTCCGGGCGGCCGCTCATGCAGCAGCGTGAAATCTGTCGTGTGAGACTTGATTATGTGCCTGGGGAAAGTCAGGATCGCTGCAAGGGACGCGAGCTCTCGTGTGTGGAATTCACTCACATCTGGGCGGCCCCCCCAGTTAAGTTACCGAGGTTTAGCGCCACGCGAAGGTGAATGCAAGCTTGCGCATACATGCCCTGGTTCCAACGCTCATACCCACGCTTGTTTCGAACGGGTTCATAAGCCACTTCTGTCGCTCCCCTCGACTGCACATGTGGCTATCACGACGATTGTTACTTCAAGGTACGCAGATATTATTCATTGGTGAGTTGATGATTGAGGGTGTTGTCTGTTCGCTTAATCAAGAGGAGCAGATATACGAGAGTGAGGGCTGCGCTAACGAGGGTCTAGATTGCTGCGCATAGCTCTTGGACCATATTACCTCCATCCCAAAGCAGCAGGTTGACTCTATATCGTGAGGTTTCTCCGCTCCGCCGCTGTGAATCCAGAGTCGTTGGGTTTCCTCGTTTCGCTCAAATTCAACGCCTGCGATTTCAACTGCAACAACGGTCCAAACTACCAAACACACCACTACAACAACCATGTCGTCCAACCGACGAATCCCCCTCCTCCTCACCATCATGGCCCTCACCAGCGCATCTCTCTCCGCACCAACACAGCCTCACCCTACCCCCCAACTAGAAGACCTCCAATGCCGCTGCCTCACCTTTTCCACCAGCCGCACCCCAACCCCATGTTCCTACCAAGAGCTCCTAACCCTAGACTGGGAAGCCGCCTTCTCCCTCTCCATCACCAACGCGCTGCCCATCCAATTCGCCAGCCAAACCACCATGGACACCTTACTCGCCATCCCCAAGCCCCTCCCGCTCAATCTGCTGCAGAGTATGCATGAGGGAGGAGAGGTTAGTCCGCTTGATCCGAGCAGCGGGGTGACGAGTGAGAATAGGGTTGTCTGTGGGTTTGGACAAGAGATTGATGGGGTGAGTGGGAGGGGGAGGGGAGGCGTCGAGCAGGAGGTGCATTATGTGGGGACGGTGCTGGGATTGTTTATGTTGGCTACGATGGTTTGGGTTGCGGGGGAGTGGGTGTGGATGAGGTGGGTTGCTGACTGTTTCTTCCTGCAGAGAAATGACTGTACTGACATGACACGCAGGTTCTTCTCGAGGACCGGAACTATCATGCTAGAGGGCGACGAGAAGGCTCTAAGAGCCGAGTTCGACGCTCTAACGGCTGAGGTCGAGGCCCTGACGGCAGAAGTCAAGGCCGAGACGAGGAGTATGCCTACCGACTACTCTTGAGCGTAGTCAACGCGATTGACTGACCGGTCTGATCACAAGACCACGACGAGATGTTTATTACGAGGTTCCTTCGAAGCGGTCCACTTCCGGTACTCACATCCCCCATCAGAAGCAAGACTACGGCTGAGAAACGCTCGACCGAGCTCCTTGCTACCCATCTACACCTGCCATCGGCTATCGTCCCCGATAGGGCTATTCCTGGAACATCATCATCCGCACTGCCCGTTTTGAACTCTACTTTCGACGCTGGAGAGGCCAACACAGCGCAGTGCCCCTCCCATACCAGCAAAGAGGTTTACTTATGTATCCCCCCACACACGCTCCTGCACTCTGCATCGCGCTATCCTGCACTTCGTCCACCTTCATGGGGACCGTTGGGAGACACGGGCCAACACCACACACATGGTGGCTGAGGGACGATCAGCACCGTTGGGAACAGCCAAGCGGGGAATACCTATGGGTGGTCTGGGATTAGCATGGAAGGTCTACGAGATTATGTGTCAATAGCAAAACATTACATGTATCCAACTCCCTCTCTTACTTTGTCTGCACTCACATGAAGTCTGAAGTAGCTTTTTCCATGTGTCGCAGATTCAATAGCTCTGACACAGTACTGTAGCCGTGTGTATCAAGTCAAATGCACCCAATACGTACACGTGTTATGCATGTGAAGATTGGTATGTTTAGGTTAATGCCATATTACGTATTACTCTACATAGTATCGTAACTAGTTAACATCGCTTTTACTTCCCTCTTCTAAAAACCTCCCATCGGACAAACAAGTAAACAAGATTCGCAGACGCGAAAGGGGTATAAACGCTCTCAAGTAGCTATCCCGCCTATACTCCAGAAGGTGTAACACCGGCCAAACAAGGTCAGCTGCTATATAAGTATGCGAGCGAGTCTGAGACTTCAAGCTCAATGCGCCGATTCCGGGTACGAAAGTTGGACTTTGGGTTCGTAAAGCCTGCCAGATTTGTTAGCCAACCGGATCTTCACTTTTTACTCGAGTCCGAGGCAACTTACATGAACGTCTCATACCTAACCCCCCTCCTCCTCACCCTATTCCTCTCTTTCGCCATCCCATCCTCCCCACTCCCAGCAAACAACACAGGCTCCCAATCAACCACATCCCTCCACCTCTTCATGAGCTTGCGCCAATAACACGCTTCCGCTGCTTGCGTCAGATATCTTTCCCTGAATACCTGCACCGAGTTATCCGCTATGCGCTTCGCCTTTTCTGGGTGATCGAGCAGGTCTTCCATAGCGGATGCTAGATCGGAAAAGTCGCGTTCGACTTCGACGAAGTTCTGGTTGGAGCCGTTGGAGCGGAAGAGGTAGTGGTGGTGTTGTATCCATTGCAGTTTGTGCGAGACGATTACGGAGCGGCAGAGTTGGCGGTATTTTAGGGAGCCGGAGTAGGAACGCCCTGAATGGGGTTGTTAGTATGCAGAACTCTGATAGTGGTTGGGGGTATAATACCTTCGGCGTGAGCAATGAACATGTAATTACACTGATCCACCGGCCCGAGAAACTGCTCTTTGAAATTTGGATCCGTCCACTTGAGTTGGCCTACATCACTCCATGGCTTGCCTTTTGCTGCATCGAGGAGCGCTCTCCGCAGCTTAGGCGCGAAAGTGATTTTGCCTCTCCAGACTAGCTTCTCGATCTTTT